CCCAAAACCCCAAAACCCCAAAACCCCAAAACCCCAAAACCCCATGAATCAGAATTGCGAATGATTTGTAAAGAGTTAAACTTAAAATAATAAATTAATGGATAAATTGATTGAAATGAAACAGGAATATAGCAATACTGAAATGACATTATCAAGGCCTCAGACTATGGTAAAATTAACGAAATCAGACAATTCACCGATATATTTATTCAATTGAAAATTGTCTAAATCAACGAATTAGTAAAGTTTGAAAAATCATAACATGCCGTACAAAACTGTTAAATGTAACCTCAATTTCATGTGATTTTTATAGAACTAAATAATTTAGTATATCATGATTCTTATAATGGTTCCCATAGCAATCTTCATAAAAGTTACGATTTTGAGACAAAGAGTTGAATGAATCCCCGCTAATTAGCAAAGATTTTCCACACTAATTTGGAGGATAATGTCTACCAAGATTATTCCTTTAAGAAGCATCAACTTAATTCAAAAAAAGGATTGGATTATTTATGAAAAATGAGTTAGATTTGCAATGAATTTTAGCGGAATAAGTATCTTAGAAATAAAAATAGTAATATTCATTAGCATTAACAAGTATTTTAACTAGTGCAGATGAGTGACTTTGAACTGTAAAACTTTTTAACGAAGATAAAGGATGATAATTACCCTCCACAGGACTAATAATTGAAGGAATAAATCAAAACTTGAAAAATATGCCTAGAATAATCAATATCCCTAGATTAAATTATTAAAAGTCTAAATAATTCTAGGCAATTAAACAATTCAACCTATCCAAATAATGACTATGATAATTTTGACATTCCCAATTATATTGAGTCCCAAAAATATTAGCACTCTAAAAGTCAATAAAAGGTCTAATTAAGCCAGATGAATAAAATTGAAAAACAACTTTAGAAAATTCGATTCAAATGAAACGTGCGAACTATAGACACTGATAAAGGCTAAGAAATTAATGAATCACTTACAAAAACTTTGCCCCAGAGAAACTCAATTTGTAATAACAAACGATCGGATGAATAGTTAATATTATAAGTACCATTATCCAGATCAATTTAAAGATAGACAAATAATTAACTCAATCCGAAGAATGAGCCAGATTTACGCAAGTTGAAATCATACATTTCTTCATATTACTCAAACGTGAAAATTGATTTGAAAAACTAGAATAAGAGTAAACTTCTACAAATTATCAAATAATGTAATTAGAGGCTATCCGAGAAGGATTTCGATAAATCCTAGGGCAAAAATATAATCAAAGAGTAAAAACCGATAATTTGAGTCTTATATTTTATCATAGGATGATGCTAGTCTAATGTAATAGAGAGAAGATACACAGTGCCCTCTAAAAGTATTTCTAGAATAAGTAGTTGGCCACAGCAAACTCTAGCTATGACTAAAAGCAAGCCAACTTTATATTGTTTAATTATATATATAGAATCTCTGAAATTATAGAATAGAATGAATTTGACTCAATAAGTGACAAACAAAATCTTTTATCAAAAGAGGCATTATAATTTGAGAGGTACTCAGGAAAATTCTTGCTCAAGAAGCATTTGAATCGATGACATACTTATTTAGACAATGATATAAGGATGAGATATATTAACTACTACTCTTTTAATATTAGTTATTTAATAAGCACATGACTGAAAGGATTTATAAAAGTTATTAAATTAAATAAAAATAATATATGACAATTCTCTCTAAGGAAGGCTCACTCATTCAGGAAGAGCCTTCCTAAAAAGATTTATCAACTGCCAACTCAAGTCTAAGCTGCATTCCAATGAATGAAACGCAATAAAGAAGAATTATAAAAAGAATTTGGAGATCTATAATGGAGGGCAACTTAAACAAGCTAAAGTCCTTATAAGATTAATTACTGTACCACGGTTAGGAGCTTTCAAATGCGAGAATTAATAAATTCGGATGGACCCCTTTGCATGCAGCTTGCTATTTCGGTAGATTAAGCATAGTAATATACTTAATTGAGTAAGATCATGCTGACCCTAATGAAGTAAACCCCAATGGATGGCACAGTTTAATATTTGCTGTAATGGGTGGACATGGATCGGAAATTGTCGAGTACCTCTTAAAGAAAACTATTACTGACCCTTTGCTTACTGATGAAAAGGGTAATAATGCCCTGGCATATGCTAAAAGCATTAACCCAGGTGGTCAAGTAGAGTAAATTCTATAAAATCAGCTAATCTGAGATGTATTCCTATAAAACAACCAGACTATTAAACTGTATTAGTATCAATAACTATCAAAAAGTATTTATTTGTTTAAATTTTTCTTCATCCATTCTTAACTAATTAAATTTGAAGACGTATCAATAAAATTTAATACTTCATTATTATAAATCTTATATTTTTTTATTTTCATTTCTTCTAGCCCACTAATACTGAGTATTTTGGATCTTGGGGTTTTGGGGTTTTGGGGTTTTGGGG